ACATGATAATTCTGTGACCATTGCTTTTGATCTACTTCTGGACATTGACTCTCCGACACTACTTTGTCCAGCGATGTTGGAAACCATTGCCCTCTCATGTTAGCACTTATTCATGCATTATATTTATAAAAATATTTATGAAAACAAATATTTATTCATTTATTTATAAAAAACATTGTATATCTTTTTGAAATCGATGCTTTTATTTGTCTCGTTTTGATAATATTTTACTTTTCTTATTATATTTCTATATTTAGCTTTATTTGATACTTTTATAGTAATATTTATAGTCATACATAATACAAAATAATCTAGATACTAAATATCACAATACAATGTATTATGCATTGCTTAGCGTAGGTATTGATGATATTGCTTTTATCATCACTGAATAATTTGCTCATTTTATATGACATAAAAGAAAATTTGTAGCTTATTATACATTATTAACTACAATACAAAGTCATTTGAGTGTAGTTTTAAAATATAAATCATAATTTGAATTCTTTCAAAAATTGGGATTCAGTTAACAAGAATTTGTATAATTGGAAAAATTAGTTGAATGATTATTGCATTTATTTGATGAATTGTTTAATTGAGAGTTTGATCATGTGTGATCATAACTTTCTATAGTTATGAAAGCTATTTTGCAATAAATTGCCAGATTATGTGAATTTGTGAAATACTGTACAGCGAAGAGACAATTAGATGATGAGCCCAGTGTTGGGAAGTGTTGTAAACAAATACTGATTTATATGCTGTAGTAATGAGCAGATAATATGCTGTAGTCTGAGTTCATATGGAGACAACATATTAGGACAGTATTAGCACATTTCTCAATGCCTATAACATCCACCCGCGCTCTCAAGACGACGGGCGCCCAAATAAAACTAATTGCGTTATTTTAATTAATAAAATAAATTACAATTACAGCGTGTAATGCAGTTCTACAAAACCCACAAGGTGTTTACACCCTACGGAATTATGGTGAAGCAGTCAACTGTACCATCTCGATCATTTTTCCCGAAAGCTTTCGCGTTCTGGCACTTAATATAGGCGCTCAACACCGACCCAACACTGACTTAATAGAGCCACAGCTTCTTGAGGTCGAAACCGGACTAATCAGAAAAGTAAGTCATCTATCAATTGATTTCCAATTGCTTATCATTTCAATTAGTTATGGAATATATTATTATATAATATTTGTTTAATTTAGTGCAAAGAGAGGGGTTTAAGAGATTATGTGGAAATTCTTGGAGGAGATGGTCTCGACCCACACTTAATGGCTGTCGCCGAAGATTTTTGTGGAATTGATTCAATTCCAAGTGAGGAATCATATATTAAACACAATTATATGTATTAGTTTACTAAATGTTGAATACAATCCACAGCCAAACATAAGTTTGAGGTCGCCTGTGGTAACACAGCTGTACGGCTGGTCTCTAGTGGACGACATGATAATTCTGTGACCATTGCTTTTGATCTACTTCTGGACATTGACTCTCCGACACTACTTTGTCCAGCGATGTTGGAAACCATTGCCCTCTCATGTTAGCACTTATTCATGCATTATATTTATGAAAATATTTATTCATTTATTTATAAAAACATTGTATATCTTTGTGAAATCGATGCTTTTATTTTGTCTCGTTTTGATAATATTTTACTTTTCTTATTATATTTCTATATTTAGCTTTATTTGATACTTTTATAGTAATATTTATAGTCATACATAATACAAAATAATCTAGACACTAAATATCACAATACAATGAATTATGCATTGCTTAGCGTAGGTATTGACGATATAAACTCTTGCTTTTATCATCACTGAATAATTTGTTCATTTTATATGACATAAAAGAAAATTTGTAGCTTATTATAAAGTTAATACATTATTAACTACAATACAAAGTCATTTGAGTGTAGTTTTAAAATATAAATCAATATTTGAATTCTTTCAAAAGATTTGTACTCACAAGTCAGTTGACAAGAATTTGTATAATTGGAAAAATTAGTTGAATGATTATTGCATTTATTTGATGAATTGTTTAATTGAGAGTTTGATCATGTGTGATCATAACTTTTCTATAGTTATGAAAGCTATTTTGCAATAAATTTCCAGATTATGTGAATTTGTGAAATACTGTACAGCGAAGAGACAATTAGATGATGAGCCCAGTGTTGGGAAGTGTTGTAAACAAATACTGATTTATATGCTGTAGTTATGAGCAGATAATATGCTGTAGTCTGAGTTCATATGGAGACAACATATTAGGACAGTATTAGCACATTTCTCAATGCCTATAACATCCACCCGCGCTCTCAAGACGACGGGCGCCCAAATAAAACTAAATACTATATATTCATGAATACTTTGACAAATAGTTTGTCTTTTATATTAGAAAAAATAACAATTTTTCTTATTTACAGAAATACGACTTCGGATTGGAGTTTAGTCACAAATTTAGACATAAATATTATGTAATATTTAAAGAGAAAATTTGCTAATAATTGAAGACAACTGACACTTAAGAAATGATTGGAATTTTGAAGCAAATAACATATGAAGTATTGGTATTCGTATATAACAGTGAAAGTACAGTATAATTGAAATCATATGAACACATAAATACATTCCTTTATTTATTTCAATCGTTTTGAACTCATTTTTCGATATAATTTTGTTGAATAAAAAATATATAAATATACATAACTTATAATTAAATTAATAAATTTTTTCTTATCAATTTTTTTGTTTCTCAGTTTGTAATTTACATGTTTGTAGTATTTGTGAAGAAAAAAAATTTAAAAAAATAAAACAATTATTTAATAAATATATTTAAAAATACATTTCATTCATTCATACGGTTTTGTTCGCCCGAAACTCCAATCAATCTTTGAAAATATAGTGGAATTCAGTCTTAATTTAGTGTTTGAAATGAATGGCAATTTGAGTATTGGAGTGGAGTATTAGCTAAATGTGATATCTCTGGCGCCGCGACTGTTCATTGATGACAAAAATAAAAGATTTTTTGTTTCATGTGTTATGTCCTGGAATTCTGAACGCAAGCAAACACTGCGAAAAGTAAGTCACAGTATTTTATCTCAAGAAAGTAAATCTTTTTTAAGTGTATTTCCATTCATTCCTGTGATTGATATTCAAACTAAAAACAATTTTTACACAAATATATTGATATGTATTTATATATCGAAGACGTTTTTATTGAAGTAAATAAAATATTTCTAATAATTTGAATATTCTTTACATTAACTAACAATGTATTTATGGCACACAAATAAGGAAGCCTTTGCCTTAACCTTTTTAGATAGACATTCAGTTCATTGTAAATATAGACAACAATTTTGATAAATTAACAAAAAGAAAATAAGTAACAAACTTCATTAAAACACGACATATTGTTTTCGATGTAGTATTAGTTCTCTGTTGAGTATTACATGCATTTTACTGTCAAATTAATACATCTGGTAAATAATCAAATTATAAAATATATAAAAATAACAATTTTTAAAATTAAAAACATTTCATCCTATTCACGAAAGAGTATTATAAAATCAAAATTGACTACTAATTCAATTTTGATATTAATATAAGTAATTATAAAATTAAAAAAATAATTTAAAGTCCCGTTGATTGGCTCGACTGCGGTTGTGTTGACTTGTCGTCAACGTTGAATTCAATGAAAATAAATCATTTGTAAACCTATTAGTCTGTGAGCTGTCATACTCTACTCCTTCACATACGTCCGACTCATCAAAACCTAATCTGGGCTTTAATTAGAATGAAATAAAAAAGTGATTTTCAATGCATTAGTCCAATGAATTTGTCGCTTACATTACGGCTGGAGTCTGGAGTGAACCGATTGCTGAGTGCATGCATTGAATGTGTGGGCGATTCATATCTCATCTCTTTGATGGCGAGACCGGCTTCTGATTCTGTCATTCCTTTTCTATCACATAAATTGGTATTGTTTTAGATTTCTATCGTTATTCTTATCAAACCAATTGTGTTTAGTATTCAATACACTCTACCGTTCAGTGTATGAATGCATCAAATAAATGCCCGTACATTTGAGACAATAGTTTACTATTTCTTATATGTCTATATTTATCATTTACAAAAAAAAGCATTCATTCGACCGATCGTTAAATAAAAGAACTGCTTCTTAATTAAGAGAATTAGTGATATTTGAGCGTAAAATCGGAGTAAGAAGGAGAGGGAGGGAGAGATCACAACAATTGGATTCTTATGAATATAAACTATAGTGAAAAAGGATGAAAATAATGACTTTGGGATCAGTTTTGGTTGATAAGTAATGAGGCATTCATTTGTGGACATTTACTTGGATTTTATTGACTTTAAATGAACTGTTTTTACTCGAAGTAATCTCAATGAGACACAAACCCACACATTATGGTAAGACTTGTCTATAAAACAGTTTGGAATTGTATTTTATCAACGATGAGAAGGATTTGTAAATTAAATGTTTGTAATGAGAATTTGTATTGAAAAGGAAAAGCGATTATCAGCAACAAAACGGATAAACTTAAACACATCAAACATTTATTTTATATTTTTCTGTAAGACTCATACCATGTATATCTCACTAAAGTATTATGTAATAATAGATTTGTATTAAAAGATTAAATGGTTTGAGAATCAACTAACAGAATGGCATTATATCTAATTAAATAAATATTTTATATTTACTAAATGCACAATACTATCAATAAATAAAATATATTAATCAACATGTATTGTGTTTTACTCCAGAGAACTATATAATTATAAAATAATAATAATGTTCTTATCTATTATGATTTTATGAAACTCACAATTGGACCTATAATTAAAACTCAATCATTTCATTAAAGCGACATTTTTTAATAAATGAAGAATTTTGTGGATATTGTCGCAAAACATTGTTTCAATGAAACCCCCACTCAATGCATGCTTTGATGACTTGAATTTTAAAATGTTTATTTTTAACTACAATTAAACATAGAAATATTGTATTTTATAAATTTAAGCTACATTTATAATAATAATACTACGGTATTTTGCCATAAGCAAAATCTACAACAGTATTTCAATATAAGTTATAATGTATGACTAATGCATGTTTATTAAATTTGCTTATTTTAACTTATTAAGAATTTTAATATTAAACATTCACTTTTGCATCAATACTGTATAAAAAACTAATTAAAAGCAAATATAATACTTCATAGTACTTTAATCTCATCAAGTTATTATTCAGAAATCATTACGTAAAAATTATTAATGTTTTCTCAAATTATATAAAGTTTTATGTTTTAGTAAAACCGAATTGCATTGATTTCTATGACATGACATGAATTGAATAAATACCTGTTAATTTGAGTTTCACTTTTAGGTCTGTTGTGGTAATCGTAGTGTTTTTGCTTATTTATAGTCTTCCAGTCGGAGTCGTATTGATTGAACACTTGTCTCGGGTTATCGTTTTGGCAATAATTGTCCGATTGGTTGGTATAATAGGAAAGACGACGACTTACCACCGATGATGACTTGATTGACGTCTAAATTATCAAATTAATCATCAAATAAAGACCAAGAGTTGTCATCAATGAGTTATACCCCGCTTTTGTTATCATCTTCTGTCCGCAAATCACATCTCTTTGCGTATCTATTCTTAGTTTTGTTGCAATTGTGAGACATTTTGGACGAAGTGTTCATTTCATTAAATTTGTTTCTATTATCAAATGAATATCTATCGGATTTATGAGCTCTTTGTTGGACTGAATTGGACTGATTGTCCATATATTCATATTTCATAGCTTCTTGAGTTTCTGGTGTATAGAAACCCTATAATATTTAAAGTAATTAACCGTTTATTACAATTACAATCAATTTAACTGTAATTTGTATAAAACTTGTAAGTTTTATAACGGACATTTGCTCGACAATTATATCTGAAACCAAAACACATTTCAAATCATAATTTGAATGCAATTCAAGACAAACAGAGCTCCACTTTGACGACAATATTGATATAAATTAAAATATGATATAAATATATGTATATATGAAGAGAACCGACACCATAACGAACAGACAAATTAAACATTTTATTCAATGAAAACGAGCAAGTTTGATTACAAAAAAGTTATTTTAAAAAGCTTTGCATTACTGCTGCTTATAAGTGGCACTAATTGTCGGACGAGTGGACCGACGGTTAGGGCCAAACATTTTAAAAGCTCAATGAAATTACAAGTAAATTAATTAATAACATGTTATTTACAGATGCGATGTCTGAGCAAATAATTATTGATTGGCCACAAGTGGTTACAGTGATCACCACATATACACTTGTCCGCGATGTATGGCATAGTTTACCTGTTGAGACGAATGCCGGGCACGTGGTATGACTATCTGAGGGGGCAAACTGTTGTACGGCCCGCCCACTGAACCCATGCTTCGGTCCAAACTCGGCTCACTTTCTCTCCTTCTCTGCGAATCGGTGCCATTCGGGTCGTTCTGTTCACACAATTACCATCATTAATATATAGACTCTATTCATACAACATATGTCTTAACACTCATACCGGAAGCATTCCGGGTCCGTCATATACATGTGATCTCAGGTGATCACTGCTTTCGCTCGATGTCTCTAACATTGCCTTTCGGTCTAAAGTACCGCCAATTACTGTCGGACCAAATGATGACAGGTTTCTGAAACCCTTAGAAATTGTGCGTTTCCTCCATTTCCGGCAACAATAGACTATACAACAGATGGACACAATGCAGAGGATGGCTGCGATCGGAAGCACTATCGCCAACACTATTAATCAATCAATTCATTCATTAATGTCGTTCAATCTTTTTTATAAGTCTTTAGGATATAATCGTCTCACTTCTCAACACTTCTCCATTGCAATTAAATATAACCATGTTGTTAACAGTTTTGCTAACCATGCTCAATTGCATTTAAAGTATATATTTTAAAATGTGAATAAATAATGTGGTCAATTTAAGTTATAAAATATATAACTTGTAGTATTTGTCACTATGGCTATCATTTTATGTTCAATTTTATATAAATGTAAGAATTAAGGAATTTTCCGTGTCTTCCTGTTATGTATAATATATTATCTCAATATTAATTACATTTAGTTCTAAAAACAATTTATTATTAGTTTTGACGAGAATTTAATTTAATAGATTAGTCCTAACATTATTGACAAACTCATAAAAGTATCTCACGTTTGTTCACAACTGACTGATCGCTATAATAATATTTATCATGAATTGTCAATCAAATCCTAATTAATGTTTTATGACTGACAATAACAACAAACTATACTTAAATGTCATTAAATCATTATTTCTTTCGTTGGATAATAAGATTTGTAATGATTTTAAAATTGCAAAAAATTCATTGGTTGGGCTAATAATATGTTTGAATGGATTGTTAAGTTAAAGTAAATGATACCGTAATTGTAATAACGCTCTAAAACATAATATAAATGGCATAATATTTGATGATATAATTGACAGATCTGTGTCAATATCTTGAGAAGTGCTGAGACATGAGATGGTAATGATTTAAATGAGAGCAAATGAATACATACGGAGGCCATTGATCTGACACCTTCTTCCTAAGTACATACGATTGCATTTACAAGTATTGCTGAGTCCGGAGTCATCGCGAATACAGTCACCCCTTCCGTGACAATACTCGCAGCCCTTGATCTCTGAGGCGCAGACCCTTCCGGGCAGTGAGATGTCGAGGTCTGGGTAGCCGTTGAGACACTCGCACCGATAGGTTCCCATCTCATTGATACAGCGGGCAGAGGCCGCGCAATCGTTGTACTGTTCAGAACTGCATTCATCGAAATCAATCACATCCTCCACATCGGCGGACACGTACTCAGGATTCGGTAATAACTCTGAGTTTTGCTCCAATTTCTTGATCAGTTTCTCGCGAAGACTGTCTTCGTCCACATTATTTCGTTTGGTTAAGTGAACGGTTAGGTTAACGAGCACTCCATTGCCTCCATCGGCCACTTTATCGATGCCGAGAACGTCGGCGCCGACATAGGCTTCCTTCACGTCTGAGCCCAAGTACGCGCTGTCCACTTGTTTTTTGGCCATTTTGGCCAAATTCTGGTATTCGCCGGAACTATTGTTTGTGAATTCTTCAAACCACGTGACCTCAGACTCGCCCACTTTCATCACTCGCACCACAACCACATAGTTGTGCAGTTCTGCCAATCAATGCAATTATAATTAGTTTCACATTTTAAACAAATAAAGTCAATCAATACATACCCTGACAAATAAGGTCGTCGTTTCTTCTAATAAATCCTTGTCGACAATCGCATCGATACTTTCCGTCAATCTCTTTGCAGATCTCTTTATTGGCGGCATTACATCCGGGTTTGCACTGATCGATGTCCAAAATGCTGGGACGAGTGGTTGTCTTGGGTGCCGGAGCTGCTGTTGGCTTCTTATTGGCAACATATGGTGTTTCACTCACACCACTCAATACGGGTCGCTCTGCGGGTGGCGGTGGCTTATATGGCACCCTTGGTCTGGGAGACTGTGTCTGGAAACGCTTGGGTACTTCAGGAGCCCTCGTCGGTGCCTTGAATGGACCGCTTCCCGGCTTTCGGGTTGGTCTGCGTGTGGGCACAGCTGTGGCCGAAACCCCTTTAGCCGCTTGTGTCGGAGCGATTGATTCGGTGTGTGTTTCGCCCGCCGTTCCCAATATAGTTCGCGAACCAATTATTGTGGACACAAAAGTTCGCGGAGGAATAGTTGTGGTCAATACGGATGTTATGGTTAGTGGAGAATCTCGTGTATAGTAAACCTAAATAATAGTTTAGATTACAAATAAATGAGATATTCTTTAATTATAAACAAAACTATACTTTTCATACCTTAGTTGTGGTGAGAGTTAGCGTTTTTGTGGTGCTCTCAACACTTGTTACATATTTAGTCGATTCAATGGGAGAATTAGAGTCAATAAATGATGGCATTTGTGACAAATGATGGGTCGAATCGGTAAAGAATATAGTGGTCGCTCCCGAAGAGACTCTACTAATGGCAGTCTTCATCGGATTTATTGTTTTGATTACCTTTGATATGAGTACAGGAGTTGGCTTTTGGCTGTCAATAGATATTTGCAATACTTTTTTATTAACTTGTAGTGAACTTTCAATAGGAAAGGCATCCAATCCAATGATATCACTGGAGGGAAGAGTAGTGGTTCCGCCCAAACCAACAGTACTCGAAGGATTGATTTGAATTCTTCGGGTGTTTTTATCGTTTGTTGGAACAGCATTTGGTTTATGCATCGCTCCCATCGGGATATAAACCGGGTCTTGAGTATTATGAACGGCCGCCCCTTCGCGCGGTGGCAGGTCTTTAGATGGACTAAAGCGGTCGACTTCTTGTGTGCCATTCTTTCCTTTGGGTGCTTTGGCCAGAAGGCCAACGATATCTTTGATGGCTTCGCCTATATTGCCGGCCAGATTCGCGCCGTCCAACAAATCGCTTAATTCAATGACAGCTCCGGGTTTGATGGCAGTCATCTGAGAGCATCTCAACACTTGTTACATATTTAGTCGATTCAATGGGAGAATTAGAGTCAATAAATGATGGCATTTGTGACAAATGATGGGTCGAATCGGTAAAGAATATAGTGGTCGCTCCCGAAGAGACTCTACTGATGGCCGTCTTCATTGGATTTATAGTTTTGATTACCTTTGATATGAGTACTGGAGTTGGCTTTTGGCTGTCAATAGATATTTGCAATACTTTTTTATTAACTTGTAGTGAACTTTCAATAGGGAAGGCATCCAATCCAATGATATCACTGGAGGGAAGAGTTGTGGTTCCGCCCAAACCAACAGTACTCGAAGGATTTATTTGAATTCTTCGGGTGTTCTTATCGTTTGTTGGAACAGCATTTGGTTTATGCATCGCTCCCATCGGTATATAAACCGGGTCTTGAGTATTATGAACGGCCGCCCCTTCACGCGGTGGCAGATCTTTAGATGGACTAAAGCGGTCGACTTCTTGTGTGCCATTCTTTCCTTTCGGTGCTTTGGCCAGAAGGCCAACGATATCTTTGATGGCTTCGCCTATATTGCCGGCCAGATTCGCGCCGTCCAACAAATCGCTTAATTCAATGACAGCTCCGGGTTTGATGGCAGTCATCTGAGAGCAGGTGCTTTGGCCAGAAGGCCAACGATATCTTTGATGGCTTCGCCTATATTGCCGGCCAGATTCGCGCCGTCCAACAAATCGCTTAATTCAATGACAGCTCCGGGTTTGATGGCAGTCATCTGAGAGCCCGGATCTTGTGTCAGGTGTGGAGTGATATAAACAGGAGAGGCAGAGGCCCTCACCGATGATATTCGAGACGCCAACAGATCGTTAAGTAAAGACATGTCGGCGTTATTGAGCAAAGAGCTGACCAGATCGCCGGCCGGACCCTTAGCCACATTGTTAGCATCGGTTGACATTGTGTTGCCGTTGTCTTCTGTTGTCGACGGAAGTATGAAATTCGTGAAGAAGACAATAGTAGAGCCGTCGAGGATTGTGGTCGAGGCGCCCACTTCTGCCACCACTGATGACAACTGCTCTTCAGTCAATCCCTCGGAACTTCTCAAGTCTTCAAATACTTTAGATATCATACTTGAATCAAACACTTCATAACTTGTGCTATCGATTCTCAACGAGGGTTGACTCGATTTGAGTTTCTCTTCATCGATAGGCGATTCTGTGGCCACCAATGGATTCATGAATACAGGCGTCGGTTCAATCATATACTCTGTTTTGCTTCTATCAGTCTCTGAAGAATCGATTGAAAGCGACGGGCTTTGAGTGGAAGGAAGTGCCGCCGATTGCGGAACAAATAGAGTAACTACTGAAGAGGACGTCTGTTTACGACTTATTACGGTAGAAGTGGTGCCACTGAATAGTGTTGTGAAATATGTATGAGTCGTAAAATGAGTGCTAATACTGGGAACCAAAGCTGAATACAGGTCTTTGGATTGTTTGGAAGCGCTCTGAGAAGGTTGAGTGTATTGTATAGCCGGTGGAAAATCGGTTGTGGAGTCTATAGTCTGTCCCACAGTTTCGGTCACAACTGTTGGACTGATTTCTTCAATGGACGAGAGGATGGTTTGACTGCCGCTAAACAGTGTTATATAGTGTGTTAAAGTAGTGTAAGTGCTTCGGGTTCGCAATACAGGCGCCTCCAGAGCCGGTGTCGCCCTAATTACTGAACTGCTCGACGACGTGGACGCCTCCACTTTAGGGACAGTGTACACGATTTCACTGCTAACTGTCTCCTCGAGAGTGGAAGTGACGGGTTTGTTGTTCTGGAAGAATGTGACCAAATTTGTATAAGTGGTGAAATAGGTTCGTGTGATGAGCGACGCCTGTTCTGTAGTGGTGGGCACTATAGTTCTGGTGACAGTCAACGGCTCTTTAAATGTGAAGTATTCGGTCTTGATTTCCTCGAGAGGAGTGATCGTTGAAGTGCTGCCATTGAAAAGAGTGGCGAAATAAGTGTACGTTGAGTAAACGGTTTCGGTTCGCAATCGATCGGACGTTTCTAAGACAACAGTCGGCGCAATGGATTGCGAAGTACTGTCCACTATATGTGTGTACGGAATGGTCACCACATTAGACACGGTTTGCTCAGAGCTCGATATTATGGACGTGTCGTGTGTATAGAAAGTTGTGAAATACGTAAAAGTTGTGAACAAAGTTCTTGTATCGAAAAGTGTTACTAAAGACTTGGATTCTGATTGTTTTGCGTCCGTTTTGATGCCATCCTTCATATGGACGGCTCCCGTCACTAACGTTGGCTGAAGAGTGACGCCCGACGGAAGGGTGCGATTAGACAATGCATTGTCGCTAACTATAAGAGTGACTCCATTTGAAGCGGTGGTAAATTTGATGGCGCGGTCGGCGTCTGACG